AATGTTAAGAGGATGTAACACCCTCATGTGTTGTCTCCGTCTTACAAATGTACAACATAGCAAAAACTGTTTTGCGCAGGACAACTTTTAACTTTCTGTGTTTGGAGTAGTGGCTCCAAAATTTCTGAACATATAGAGTAGAAAATTATCTATACAACAGCTTGCCTATATTTCAGATAACATAAATACAATAAAAGTTATTTGCTTCTAAACGTTTTATTTTTTTGTTTTTTCATTTGCTTATTTAAAATGATTGGATAGTGTAATTAAAAAAAAAGCAAGCTGTTGCATAGATAAAATTCTTCTTTACGTGTTGTGAAAATTTGGTAGTTCTACAACAAATATGGTGCGACAAAAGTTGTCCCGTGCAAAACAGTTTTGCTATGTTGTACATTTGAAAGACACATATACAAATATACATAACAATACATTTGTAAGATGGAGACAACACATGCGGGTGTGACGTTCTCTTCACAAAAAACAAATTATTCTACTTTTCATTTCACATTAAAGTTCTATGGTCTATTGGTACAAAAGTTTACACGCAACAATAGTTAACAAATACCTATATTCCACTTAAGACTTGTGATTTGTAACAATAAAAACACCCATTCTATAGCTTTAATCAAAGTAACTTACCTTTGATCAACCATTCGCAGTGAGTGTTCTGTGAGTAATTTGTTCCCGGAGGACCATGAGTGATGATTCCACTAGCCTGAGACAAAATGGCTCGGGTCTTGTCGCAAGGCACGTCGTTTGAACGAACAGCATTCAATAACAAGGTGATCACCAACAATTCCCTTGGAAACATGACAGATAATTCTCCCATTACAGTTTAACATGTTGGATAAACATCAACCGCAATTCTCATTGTCTCATTTTAGAGTCCAACAGAGTCTGTCGATGAAATATCCAATGACCTATTAAGATGCATCGAAAATACGAAATCAATAAGATGGAACGAGCTATAAGGTTGGATACCTACATAGCTCCGCACACCACCAGATAGATACGTTAAAGACGTGTTAAATAGGACGGTTCCGAGCGATATTCATAGTTTGATGTTGGGTAAATAAAAAATTATTTACTTATTTAGAATTCTGTCCATTCAATCTCTTATCACACAGTTTGTGTTTTGATTTCTGTGCTATCATCACTTAAGGCGTATCGGTACTTGTTATCACTGATTATCAAAACCACAGATATATACAATTGTATAATATATTTGTGATCAAAACAAACGAAAATAATATTAAGTATTGATGTTTTTTTTATTCCTACGGAGGACATACAACAAACAATAATATGCGAGTGTACATCAAACGCATTGTACCTTTAATTATTTACTACCTATAGGAATTTTTTTATTAGGCAGTTTGACGGTTAACGTTTTTGTGAAAACTATCAGAAGGAGGTACATCACACTAAAACGTCATTTGAAAAGATATTTTTTCAAATTTTATTGACCCGTGTAAGCAGAATTTGTGACCCTGTTTTTTTTCTATGACCCAATGACCCGGCCCTACACTTATAAACGTCAATTGTTGACCAGAAAAATGAATTTTATTCGTCAAATACTCATGTAGGTAGTCGTGCTATACCAAAAACAAAATTCAGCAATATAAATATTAATATTTCTATAAAAGTACCTCCTAAAATTCTAAGACAAAAGTAGTTTAATGTGTTTATATGCCAGATGGATAGTGGTACCTAAAATTTTAGTTTCTGAGCAGAACGATAAATGTATTGATTTTACAATGATGTGTATTTATTTTTATCATTTATTTTGTGTGTTTAGGTAGGTACACGATAAGTACTCAAAATTATGCTTTAATTTTCAATTTCCGTAGCTTTGGATTTAAATCTGGTCGATACTTTTGTCAGGTCAAAATTGAAAAACACAGTTTCAAACTGAAGTCTGACAGGAAAACCGAAAAATAGAACAAAAACTGAGGATTAATGGGACTTTGTGCGCAAAACTAATTTAGTTTATATTATTTGCATGATTTAAAACAATATTATAATAATTTATAAGATAACTATAATCCTTTTTAAAATAATTTAATCTATTAGGTTAGAGGGAAGTGAATTAGAAGATTCATATTAGGCATCTTATATGGCATATATATCTTGAATGTGTCAATGTGCGTCTCATATAGTCAAGAGAAGTAAATTAATTAAAGTTTGAATATTATGTAACCCGTTTAGCGTGTGCTTATCTATAGAAAATTATTAAAGTTTTCATTATTTATTAGCTGAATAACTCTGCTTCGACAGTCTTAGCAGTTTTTTGCTTAGTATATGCTCCTATGTATAGAATATAAATACGCTATATAGGGGTATCTCGGTTTGAGTTTATCTCAGTTTTAGTGTACCTTAGTTCACGGACGAATCGGCATCAGTGTATCAGTGTACGTTAGCTTTGTGAAATAACTCGACCTGGGCATCTGCAAGTCATGAATTGGACTTGCAGTATGCGGGCAGGACACTAGTTAAATTTTTTATGTGGCTTAAACTATCTACTTGCTTGCTACAAGTTTCTGATATCTTAAAAAACAATCTCTGAGATTTTTTGTAAAAATGAATCTAGTAGTTTTTGAGTATATAAGCCATAAATATATATTTGGTTTTAAGATATAGTTCCTAATAGAGCCAATGGAGGCCATGTAAAATGCAACAAATTTCGGAAAATCTTTTCCTTGTGGGTCTTTACGTCATAAAATGAAACTACTGACCAAATTACACGCTTATACGTAGGTATATGAAATAATAATTGTACACAGTGTCATTATTGAGGATCATGTTTTTAGTGTTTCTGTACAGTAGGTAGTATAAATGTATGCAGATGTTCCGTGCAAAATTGTTCAGATGTACGGTGTTTTTGTAATCTAAATTAGCTTTTAAAGTTAAAGCTTAAAATACTTTTTAAAATATTTGTTCAATCATTTTTATGAGCCGTGTATTTTTATTCTGCAATTCGTACTGAATACCTACAGTACAGCAGAGTGGTATGGACTTGCCTACCTTTAGGTATGATTCTTGAATAAATCCACTCCTATAAGAATAATTATTTCTTATTTAAAATATGTTTTTATAAGTTATATCAATCAAAAGTTAAAAATATTGAAAACAAATCGTTACCCATTTACATTTTATTTGAACTGATTAACTTAGATAAATAAATTTAAAATACATATAATAGTAATTATCATCAATTCTTTTTTACAATTAAAACTATGTTTAGTACCTAGTATTTTATTATGCACCAGTCATTTGCATAACTTTAACCTGTTAGCTGCAGCCTACAGTACCCACCGCCCTACCTATAACTATATTAAGTCCTTGAATATATAGGTTACCCTATACCCTTTGCTAAACCTTACATGTAACCTTAATATAATAATAATTATGTTTCTTGAATATGGCCAATGTAAATTTTGATCTATAGGAAAATTATTAATATATATAGATGCATAGTATGTTTTTTTAATTCAATCATTTTTAGTAACTATATTATAATTTTTTGTTTAGGACTTAGATGCTATTATGAATATTGCTGCAACATTGTTATTTAGATGACTGTGTTATTACAATATACTAAATGATTCTGTTGAATTAGGAAAAAATTAGGGCCTTAGTGAGTATGTACCTACTTATATATTATGTGACTATGTGAGTGATTTCATATGACCAATATGACTTATTACATAAATCTTAGTACCTATTAAGTACTTAGTATGTTACCATGCAAGTCTAGGTAAGTTAATGGCAATTTTTAATTGAGTTAAGTTCTTAGAAAATATTTTAAAAAGTTTATCGTTCATAGTTATCCTAATTTTGTTTTTAACTCAGTTATTAAGTAAAAAGTTGCATGGAAACTTTCAATCAACTAATGAACTTAAGTTTAATTATTTTTAATTATTTTTTTAGGTAGCCAGTATATGGTTTAAAATAATAAAAAGTAACATCGATGCAATATGCATCATCAATAATAATTGTATTATATTTATTAATTAATTATTTATAAATGAATGTAACATGAATTTGATTAAAAGTAACTGGTTATTTAATTGATATTGGGAAATAGCGTTAAAGGATTATAGGTATAAGTATCGACTAATATTAGAACATTCAAATAAATAAAATAAATAATACATTTTACTAAAAATAGTTTTATTTTATAGTTTTTTTCCTATCCAAGGATATTTTTTTTGAAAATTTTGATTTATCTAGTTGAATATTCAAACGAGTAGTTTTTCAGTTATTAAAATGTTTATATTAAGTCTTTGAAAATGGTGTTACAATAGCATAAAATAGATATGATACGGAAGTAGGATTAATTATACTTGGACCATTTTTTATAAATGATGTATAAGTATAAATATTGATAGTTTAATAAAATTTACTATAAAGTTTATTGCCCCTATATTTTCCTAACCCATTATTGTATACCTATTATAATTAGTACATAAAGTTAAATAAGTAACACAAAAATTACAAAAATTAGGATTTTGAATTAGATAGGTAGGTACATCAACGTTTTCAAAAAATCATCCATTAGGTCAGGGATGGTGAACCTTTTTGTATCAGCGTGTCAAATAAAAATTTTGGTTGCATTTTGTTTTCTCTGCGTGTCAACTAGTTCAATGACCTTTCAATGTTTTGTTCAAAAACTTTAATATCATCAAACTTTTACTTAAATATAAGGTACCTAGTATACTGATTAAAACTCAATATTTTTTATATAGTATTGGACAGACATGTATAAAAGGTCACTGTTAAATTGTAATAATTTTATTATTAATACTATCAATCATTTGATAAATATAATATGAAGAACATCATATTTATTATTTACTGACAAAAATAAATGAAGAATAAAAAAAAGTGTTTCAGAAAAAATTATTATCATTAATCATTGCACAGAATTACTCGCAGTGGTAGCAGTTGTCATGGAAGTCTGGTAACCGCCAACCGGATATCGCAAGTAAATCTAATATCTATGTCATTCTTATTAGTAGATCATTCACCTGTAAATACAATTAAATAAAATTAATATTTGGACATTGAAAATCTAGATTTCTAAATAGAGTATGCATTACAATTCCATTTAAAACATAATAATTCTGTTGATAACTCTTTGTAAATGGCCCAATAAAGCTAATTATTGTATAACATAATTATTATTTATCATTATCAAAACAAATCAGAGAATTCGATAAGCTGTATAGACAATACTTTGTCATTGACTTCTCTAATAAGGTAGGTATGTTACATTTGATGAATAATAACTAATTTTTATTATGTTATTATCGGTAGTTTAATATTATTTTGTTAACATTTTTTAACTACCTAATAATATAATAATTGTTTTGAAATATTTAAAAATTTGAAGATGTATGGTCAGTCTTTAAATTGAATATTTATTTAAATTTGTTTTCTTTTAAAATTCAGATTTTAAGCGGAGCGATTTACATAATTTATAATAATATATATTGATTTTACAACAATGTATTTTTCTATTGGTTTTTTCTTTTTGTCTAAAAATACTTCAATCTTCAACTATGAGTGAGTTTGTATGAGATTATTTGATCCAGTTGGTATTTTATTGAGAAGAGGGAGTCAAAAATAAAAAAACACCAATTACTTTTTAAAATAATTGGGGAAAACAATAATTTTTAGGCGAAACAGTTTTCTACAAAATCGATTTTGATTTAAGAGACTAAAGTTTAAAGTGGGCTTAAAATTATTAATTTAATACATCTATTGTAGTAATAGATATGTTAAATTTGTTGAATAATATATTAATAACAAGAACCGTGTTCATATGCAAATGAATAATTGATGTCATCAACCTATTTTAAACTTTAGTCTTATAAACCAACATTTTTTTTGTAGATAACTGTTTGATAGTTGTTTTTCCAAATTATTTTAAAAAGTAAATGTGATTTTTTATTTTTTGACTCTCTCTTCTCATTGAAATACCAACTGGATCAAATTATCTTCCTGAAAACCACTCATAGTTGAAGATTAAAATTATAGAATTTAAGAATATATCGTTGTAAAATAAATATATTATTAAATATTATGTAAGCCGCTTAGAATCTGAATTTTAAAATTATTGTTCATTTTAAAATAAAACAAAAATAAATAAAAATATTCTGTTTAATGATTGACATCTTCAAATTTTAAAATATTTCAAAACAAATATTATATTATTGGGTAGTTAAGACATGTTAACAAAATAATATTAAATTACCTGTATTAAAGTTAGAAAATGTTATAGGTTGTAATAAAGTATACCTCATTTAGTTTATAAGGCCAGGTATTAGGATTTCTTCCTATCATGTATAAATATAATGACCCATCAGGCCAAGTCCTTTGGCCCTCGGTGACATATGGAAGTTCATATTCTCCTAACAGATTTGCGAGTCCTTCGCATTGGTCTACATGTAGTTCATCTTTTCTTGCCTTAGAAATTGCTATACGTATTATTCGTACTTTCTCTTTCTCGTTGTCCTGCACATCGTACATCTGTGGGCAGAACGAAAAACTCTGATGTAGAGAAAGAAAATTAATAAACCGTATCTTATTATAATTTATTATATAAGCTCTACTTGAATAACTCAGATTCGCCCCTGTGCAGTTTTTCTTGTTTCAACTTTTTTTTATCAGTTTTTCTATTATAGGTATGTATGGAGAGATTGCTTTTAGATCATTACCATTATTGATATTATAACTTGTAATTATTATTTATTAGCTTATCTATTATAAGAGGACGTCATACGGGTATTTGGTGTTTCCGTCTTACAAACTTAAAAAATAGCAAATTTTAGGTTTACAATAATGTATTTTTATCTATAATTTCTAAAATTAGAGTGAATTTTCCACTTATAAAATGTAAAGGCAATAATATTATCTATTCCATCTCGGAGGATTTTATTGATGTTGTATTTATTCATTATGGTTAATTCATTTCACTATGCAAAATTATAAGTCGAGTTATATTTGTTAAAGGAGTTGGTTGGGGGGGGGGGGCGCATATTTATCGTTTGCTAGAAGTACTATTTCCACGTAAGATCTATTATTCGTTTTTAATTATTAAATCAAAATAACTTAAACATAGAATACTCACGGCACATCTGTAGAATGAACTTTTTTGGGATTTTTCATCAATGACATGCTCAAGTAATGATATATACTTAAAGCCTTGGTCAGTTAATATCCTGTTGTTCGGATTTTCTTTAGACAAACACTCAAGTATTATGTGGTCCATATCTGAAAAAGCATAAAAACAGAACAAATACAGACATATGATTAATTTTTTTGCTTAGGAATAATTGTTGTTGACACTAGTAATCTAGGTACTTAGTAGAAATTGGCTATTATTACCACCGTGGTGGTATATTATGGGAAGATCATTGAGTACCATACTATAAGGGGAAGATTATAAATTATAAGGAATGAAGCAACAATGCATTGTAATATCGTTCAACATTTAACTGAATTATTTTGATGATGTGGATACGATATCTTACCTAAGCTCAAAATCCACATAAACGTTACCACGGGAGGGATAAGGTCGGCAGCTAAGCTACCTACACTGAGGGCTAATTATTTTTCTCCAAATTAAGTATGTGTTAGGTACCTATATAAATTTCTGATTGTTATTAATAAATAATCTTTAATATTATAATTGCGATACATGTCTAATAATTGACATAGGCTGTGTTAAGGCACCTGGTACCATTGCCGTGCCAATGTCATTTTGTTCACAAAAATATACTCTATGGAAATAATGATCCTGTCCTGTAGAACCAACAACATTTCATGGTTTTTTTTTTAAAAACTTATTGAGGGTATTATTCTACAGACCGCATTGAACTGTTTTTCGATATTTTAATCTCAAAATTTACTATGTCTTTAAAACAGTCTTAAGCTGTTTAATACAAATTCATTTTTAAAATTATTTGATGTAAAATAAAAATCTGAGTTTAATGCTGCCTGTAATAAGTTTAAACTTGAAAATTCTACGAGGAATGAGAGAATCTCTTGTGAAGTCATTTTTATTGATAAAATCTCAGTATTTACACCCCCCTCCACCCGAAAATTATTACAATTAAAGTGGTAACGATAATACAAAAGAAGATATTCAAATTTTATAGAATTTGAAAATTCTGAAAAACCACTACCGGGTTTTTACATTTTTACTATAGAAATAAAGAGATATGCTATATTACGGAGGACGTCAGATGTGTACCTAAAGCCAATACACTGAAATGTATATACATAAATTATAAATATACAATATAAAAATGTAAAATACATATTGCATTCTGTGTATACTTCCTAAGACTGTCACAATAGAAGCGATCATCTATTCAACTTGTAGTGACATTAATTGGCAATTGTGCTTTTATAGTGGACCTTTTTCATTTTAAACTTTATATTTACGACTTATTAGTAATACATAAGTCATAAGGTATAGTAAATGATATGCTCATAAATTTAGCCGGGGAGAGTTTTACTCTAGTTGTTGGCGCAGCGCATCCCTTCCTTCTTCATTGTGCTGTAATAATAATGATTTGTTGTACTTACTCTGAATGTCGATGCAATGGTTGTGTTCCATGGTTAGCACGGGACGTTCTAGCCACAGATGAAATAATGGAGACGCACTTAGTAGGTTGTCTCTTTCCATATAAGCGCATCCGTACATGGGAGTCGCAGTTTGTATAGTAGCCACTTCAAATTTATGCCTTAGTCCTATTGGAGGGCATAAAAGTCCATTCAGACTATCTTGGCCTGAAACACCAAGAAAAAAATACTGTATTACATTATAAGCGTATTTTATTATTTTTATTATTAAGTTGAGCTTCAACATCCTAGTCATTAGTCTGGGTTATTAGTAGGTGTATTTTACTATGTGGAGGAACGATTTGGTTCACGGTTTGAACTACAAGACGTGTATATGTGCGAGGATTTGTCACTAAAAACCCAGTGGTCGCCCATAATATTATTATTATGGATACGACATTTTTATTAAATGAACATTATATGAACGAAAAAAAGTCGTTCGCGTTCATAGAATAATTGAACGCATTCTTTTCAAACATTGACATAATATACAATATGCATATCTATTCTGTGGCCGTGCTACGAGATTGTAATCTAATATTGATAGGTGTCATAGATAGTTAAATATGTGGTGAGCCGCCACCATATGATTTCCCCCAGGAGTTGTTAACATTGTTAGGCTGTTGGTCACCATCGCGTCGGTCCGGCGGCCTGTCCCCTCAAACCCCCGCCGACTCGCTCAACAGTACGCACTCACGGCTTTATAATAGATACCTCTCTCTCGTTTCTCGTCTCCGGCTATTACGACCCTCACGCTCGAAAACCTCGTGACTACCGTATCTCGACGCCCGTATCCGTGGCTTTTTGTATATTACATTATTCACCATTATCCTTAATCATCATTCAATAAAAACAATATTCAAACGCATTGGTTGTTATTTATATATCCACCAGTCTAGATAAAAGGTGTTGGAGGTAGTCGCTACTAATCGTAAACGTGAGACCTCTACATTACTATGACATTTAAAATACGAACAATTTAACTGACGAAAAAAAGTCGTTAGGTTGAATGGAATTTCATGGAATAGTTGAATGCGTTCTTTTCAAACATTAACACAATACCTATACAATTTGCACATAATATGTGTACTGGGTTCAACAAGAGAACTCGCAAACTCTGCGCATCCCTACGCTAAAACCTGCCATCGAAACCGGTGTTACAGTTTTCTTATATCCTCAAAATATGTTTTTACCATATGGGCAGGGACGGATTGGAACTTCGGACCAGCCCGGGAATATACCATTTTACCGGCCCACTATATGTTCGGTGATTGGGGGNGGGGGGGGGGGGGGGGGGGGGTGGTGTTATAAATTAAATACAACACACGGTAATCTTTTAGATACATAAAACAATACCAAAACATTTTATTAATACCCACAATATATTATATTATTATAAAACCATTATTAATACTATTGTTATTATTATATGGTAGGGGAGTAAAATTATGAAATAAAGCAAATAAATAAAATATATATAAATTTAGAAAAAATAAATGTCTTAAACATTTAAATGATGATTTATGAAATGTATAAAATAATACGTAATGCTTATTACTCACCATGATTGCGGATGCGTATATCAACGTCAGTCATCTGTGATGTTGCATTTTTAAACCGCGGGGCTGCCAACACGGAGTAGGTGATGGCCAGCAAGAGTAATATTTTTTCAATAAATTTAATCATATTGTGAGTCTATCGAGAATTTAATGCGAACAGCAAATAAAAAAAAACGGACGGAATAAACTCAAAACAAACGTGCTGTCGAGAAAAATACTGCAGTTATGAGCACGGTTAGCACAAGAATGACGAGCGGTGCGCCCTGTATGTGTCGTTTTACAAGCCACCTCGATGTGGTGGTGGTGGGAGTGGTCCCTACCACTGCTACGACGTTTAAGTCATAGGTATATTATACCAATATACACAAACTCAGGACCCTCTACGTCGAACGTTGTACGCCACTGATATTCGAGTACAAAGGGCAAAAATCACAATATAATAATTTAAAAAGGGAATTCGTATGAAATCGGATTCTGCCAATAACAATATTCTGATTATAATCCTTTGCGGCATAACACTTCATGCCTTTGGTGTCCTGTTGACTTGTGTCATTTATATGGGAGGGGGGGGGCTATTGTGCAATTTCAAATACAATTAAAAATTAGCAAGGAAATGTTACATTGTCGGGTTGTAGCTACGCTGGTGGTAAATTGCCCCATAGTGAAAATAATTCCTATATATTCCACTGACGTTGTCAGACTGTCTTTTATATCTTGGTCTGACCATGCAAGTATTTCGTATAGTGTATAGGTATACCTACTGCAGGATGACTGTCTAGTATCAGTGTCGCAACACAATATTTATCAGCTTGGGTAAATTTCAAGTAAGAAATTGTACCCTTTAGAGTTATAAACAATTTTGGTTTATTTGTCTTCAGAGTTTGAAAAAGTAACAAAACTATGATATTTTACATTACGTAAATTTGTAGATAGGTACGATGTACATGTATTATATTTACTTTTTAAAACTAACTTTACTGAATGACCGTATGCACAAACAAAGTATGTACTATATTTTATACTTTTACGCCTTCAGGCTTAATGGCAAATTAATGACCTAACCTAACCTAACCTATGTAAATCAACGGAGGACCTAATTGGGGATAATGGCACCCTCATCACCCTCACCCCACCGATATATGTACCATTGAATATTTTTAAATATATTATTAATACATACACCAGTTGCTCTATTACGCCGTAGGTGCATTTATGATACATCAAAAGTTTAAAATTATTTAAAGCGAAGCAACTGAACAGAATAATATTCTATGTTGGTAATCGTGGTTGGTCTTGTAATAAATCAGTTTTCAGTCTCTCCTGAACAATAGCCAAAATCTACATTCGTTGTATTACCGTGTAATCAACGATATACCTACTCTGTTCCAAAAGTGAATATAGGTAAGTAATGTGCGGCGACCGGTTTTCGTGTTGCACTCAACTCCCACCTATGGAACTTAACCGTTCGACCAATCAATAATTTTATAATTGTATTATTGTATCAAGCCGGATATCTAACAATAGTTTCACAGAGCATTGAGTACAGCGCCGTAGCCAGAGGGATAGACCTAACACCCCCCAACCAATTTTTTTTATGAACAATGGTGTCACGGGTGATGAGTATTTTAGTTCTACAAAAACACTCCTAAAAAAAATCTTGGTTATGGCACTGGTTAACAATATGTTAGTATTGCAGTAACTTTAATCGGTATAAATGTAACTCAGTGAATGCATGCTTCATCATGATCGTAAATCAACTCTTATAGTACCTATGTATATATAAAATTATTGATATAATAGATAGTTAAAACAAAATTTAGACCTGTAACACATAGCTGATATGTAAAGCAAAGGATTTTTATTCGTATAAAACAGTTAAAAAAAATTAAACAAATTTGAATTGCACACAAAAAAACAAAAACGAGGTACTTACAGTCATAAAAGGACAAAATCTTTAAAAAATGTATGATTTGATAATACAATATTATAATTTTTTATTATTTCTAGAAAATATTTATATTATATGTACATTGTACACTTATTCGGAGATACCGAATTATCAGTTAAATTTTTCATTTGCTATATTATACCGTCTTAAACCCTTAAAACCGGCATGTGTGTTTTTGATGTCCGACAACAATACACAAATCGGCGTCACGATGTCGCACACCCGCTGACCAACCCACGAGAACTATGAAACAGAATAAAACTGGTCGGGGCTGAAGTAAACATCACGTGAAAACCTTATGTAGGAATTTCAATTCAAAAACACAATACACCTCGACCATATTTCACGGTCCACCTGCACACATTTTATAGTTTCTATACATGTATAGAAACTACAAGAAAGAACGGCAACGTCGTCGAATATTATTTCATATTGATCGGGTCAGCAACAATAATTCGGTTTTTGTCATGTATGCACCGTAAGATTAATTTTCAATGAGGGTTGAAGTAATTTAATATGACCTTATTCATTCCAGCGGACAGTAAATGTATTTATTATTATACTTATATTATGTTAAAAATACGAACACGACTATACACAGACCCTAAAAACCAGTCAATGCATTTTTGAAATACCAAGTCGGTATCACGTTGCTGCACACCCGCTGACCCATTGACAAAAACTACAAAGCAAGAGAAAACTGGCCACCGGCCCAGCGAATACCACTTAAGACCCCAGGTAGGAATTTCGATTCTTAAACACTGTACGTTTGAACGATTTTACACAGACCGACCACCTGCACACATCTATAAATATAACCTACCTGTAAAGAAACACGAGAATTACGAAGGCGTATATCAATTGAGGGTATACTAAAAACGGTATTATAATTATGGTGGCAACTAAAACATAAAATATAATTTTAGAAATGTTTGCATTTCCAAATTAGAAAAATGCTACTTTAAAAATATTATGTCGAAAGTATATAATATGTACATAAAATAATACTCTGAAAATAATAGTAGGTACGCTTCCAAAGATGCATTCGATTTTGACAAATATACAATAACAGAAAAGTTATAAAATATAATCGATTGTTATGAATAAAAGAACATTTAAGCATTGTTATTTATTTTCGCCGAAGTAATAAAATAAAGTCCAGGCGTTGGGGAAACACTTTATTATCTTCAACGCCAAGTCTCCTGATCTAAGGAAATACAATTCAGTCACTGGTCAAAAATAATAATGTCCAACGAGTAAAAATGTATATATATTATTTTTTATTAAGGGGAACCAGCGGTGACATAAGCCATTGGATGTGGGGTGGTGCGGTTGGGAGTTTTTTGTCTAGGTTTAGTAGGTTTTGTGTTGGTATGATTCAATGATTGTAACAATTGTTTGTGTATGTGTGGCAAAGATGTGTTGCTAAGAACTTGGTTGGTCACCCCTCCGGGAGCTAGTAACGTTGGCAGGTACGTACACTCGGAGCGGTTTTGCAGATTGAGCATCCAACCGCGCCACACTAAGCCACTAAATTATATTAAAATAAGGGCTTGAGATTATTGATTATTGTATAAGAACTATTGATTTAGTATAATTGATAACGTTATAATTTTCATAATCATAGAAAATTATTATCTTGTGCAAACACCAATAAAAATTTTATCGCATTGCTGTATTGTCGGCAGGTAATTATAAGACGGTTTCTCAATTTCACCAGTCTTCACTTGTTTTTAACTACCTACAAAATAATAAGATAATTTTCCCCATTTAGACGAAAAGTCTAGGTAGTCAAAATTTGAGTTTAAAAACGCTTAAACAAATGGTTGTGGATTTACAATCTTATATTATTTACAACTTTTGAAGACGTTTTTTGACAAAGCTAAAAATAAAAAGCGACAAAAACGAGAACACAAAATATCTTGTCTCTTAATTGCTCAAAAAGAGTCAAAATATATTGAAAATTGAATAACGTATGGAAAATGGTAATAGAATATAAACTGACTAAAATGTATTTTGCCTACCTACAAACAGTTATTCTTTTTTGAGTTTCACCAAAACAACAAAATGTTTTTTTTTCAAAAACTGGCGTTGCGTAAAAATTCCTTCATTGAATTTTTTGTTTTTCTCTGTGATTATCATGGCTACTAAATTCCTTTTGTTTATACATAGTTAAAATAACTTACCACTACTCTTGACTACCAAAATAGCAGAAACTAGATGTGTATTATTTAAAAAAATTGACTGAGCCATTTATAAGAATGTTAATGATTACTTACCACTGAGGCAGAGACCCAAAAATTCCATTGATTATGCAGTAAAAAGCGAATTTAGGAGCAACACTTTGCAATGTTGGTTATTTGGTTATCGAAGGATTCAGCAATGTATATACTAATATACTATACATAAATAAAATGTGTAGTAAAAATATCCTTGGAAAAAGAGTAATGAAGAATAGTTTTATAACCTTAAAAATGTAGTAGGTAAGTATTTAGCACAAAGAAGTTGTTTACATAATTTTTAAAGAATGTGACAAACGAGAATTTTAAATAAAAATAAAGGAATATAAAAAAATTATTAATTTTCAGTTATTTTTTATTTCTTTATAATATATTATTTATATTGTTAATAACAAATTATCATACAATATTATTGATTTTAAATTTTTCTTCATAGTATCTTTCATTATTTATATTACATATTATTAAATCGAGACTTTTTTTTAAGAATAAAATAATAAAATCTTATTTTTTCAAGTTGTACGTATACTTACCCTTATTTTACATTTTCTAGGGAGAACAATGTTAACACATTTAAAATAAAAGAAAGATACAATTTATAATTTGATAATACAAATAATTTTATCCGATTTTGTTAACAGTATTTTAATATATTATAATATGTTATATTGGTATAAGTCTGAATGCACGATATGTAGAGAAAATTGTAGAATATACAACACTTGTCTATGTGTCTATGGAACTATAAAGAAATTAAAAAATTAACATTGTATAAGAAAAAAGATTCAGAGCGAAGACGGTCTGTCAGCCCATACCATTCGTTATTTTCTCAGTTAATGTTATGATTACTGCCAGATTTATGTGCAATAAATATCTATAAAATATGCAGATTCCTATTACAAAAATATTATAGAATCCAAATAAATGTATACAATTTTTGTTCAAAAATATTTTGTTTAATGGCAGTGTGTAA